ACTATATAACGCAGAGTTTGCACTTACTCATTGCACTCGCCGACTCTACCTTGCTCAAGGCTATGGACATGTCCGTCAGGTCCTCGTATGCCAATGATGTTACTGTTAATGTGTGCCCCCAGTGACAGTCTTGGTGTTGTGTTTACTCCCAGAACCGTATTCTGGTAAAGCGGATATCTGCTTATCTTGTATTGTCTCAGATACTCATCCACGTCCTGTCCCTCATCACCAGTTCTCAGACTTATTTACTTGACCGTGATGGGTAATTATTGCAGCTGCTGTGTGATCTACCCCCAAGCTAAGTCCATGACCAAGTAGACGATCCTTCCCCATTTATTGTGCACTTCCTTCTCCATGTGAAGGATTGTCACAAACTGCACTGTCCTGGTTTTCATTCAGTTGATTTTGGCTGCAATTGATTTTGGCTGCAAGTGAGATAGCGATCTGAAGTCATCCGGATCCATGAAATCTTGGTCGTAGATACAGTGTTAACCGATATCATATCTGCACATAGCTTTTATTTGTTCAGCCGATTCATCGTCGTCTTAAATTTCCCTTCCTTTGGACATGTTATGTTTGGATCTGGAGAAGGAATTAAAGCCTTACAGCGCACCGAGGATAACAGTCTTGCTTATCCCGTAACGGTCTGCTGGCAGACGGTCTTACTCTTACTCATGACCCAGGAGCTTCCAGGTGGGCAAGAATGCCCACATATATAAACACGTGGCCCGTTACTAGAGTACCATATTCGTACAGTTTTAGGTATGTTTTGCAATATCTTTTTCATTAATGACCAAAAATCGCATAATGTCTCGTAGTACAGTTAGCTTCGTTATCGTGCAGAGCCGCGTAAACCCGTCAACAATCGAATATTATACATTTTAATCAATCAATAAACACCGTCCGCGAATTATTTAAATGTTTATCATGCTAAATAACTACCGGTAAATAGATGGTGTAATATCAAAGATAAAACTACAAAGATTTAGTTTTTAAATAAGATTGCATGATATACAATCATTCAACGTACGTGTTTGTATACATATTAATGAAACACACAAATGGAGGTTTCCAACATGTGGTGAGGCTGCTACACACCGTCCACACCTGACACCTGACACACATGTGCAGGTTGACTCTTCACTCATAAACCAGCTTTTAAACCAACAAAAACAAACCAGTGGTGCATTTGACGTTTCTTGCAAGGAGTCTCTGTGAAATTTATACATAAACAAGCGAAAGCAAATCTTTTATGACTTGGTTGGAAGTACCTTAAGTTAACTGAATTGCAAATCGATTGCACCACAACCACGATACCAGTAACGCCGCGTTCATGTAAACAAAAACGGATATCAGTTGAAGGACTGATTTACAGATTAGGGTCGTAAGAGTAGATATTTATTGCATGCAGAGGCTTCACACAGCCTCGGCAACACTCGAGTCTGCAAGTATTCATAGTTGTTCAAGTACATTTATTGAGACAATAAAATAATCTCAAAGGGATAGAGTAGCTTAGGCTTTTTCTACCCTCGTAATTAAGGTACGTGCAACGCCAGGATTCCCATCCACCAAACTCGGTACTCAAGAGGAATGATCACAGATGACATAAGCTGAGGGCAACATGACTCCATGCTTACTCCTAAAGTAGTGAACGCTTAGTACATCTCATCCTTAGACTAGAACCCCCCGCCCCCCTGGGGGGCCTCATCCTCTTGTAGGAAGTGCTCATGGAGGATAGGTTATTAAGACGGGTAATTAAGAAAAACAAGAAGAGCGAATTTTGGTTCATCTTTATTGATTTACTACTTATTAATTGTTTAACGTAACAATGATATATAAAATAGTTGTCTAGTAAAACTGCCATAGAATAATGGCAACAACGAAAGACGGAAATCAAGATAATATTTATTACAATTATTGCTATTATCACCATAATTATTAATATGAGAGATACATGTAATGTTGTGTGTTGTGTGTGTCAGGTGAGTGTGATGTACGAGGACCTGGAGCCCCTGAGTCAGGCCACACTACAGCAGGCGTCCCTCACCATCCTGGCCTCCGTCACCCTCCCGTCTGGCGCCACCACCACCCTCCCAGAGGTACTACACACTACCACACAACTCAAATTATATTGGTCTGTGCCAGTGCTAGTCAACGCTACAGTAGGCCTACTGGCCAGTGCTAGAGAACGCTACAGTAGGCCTATTGGCCAGTGGTAGACAACACTACAGTAGACCTACTGGCCAGTGCTAGTCAACGCTACAGTAGGCCTACTGGCCAGTGCTAGTCAACGCTACAGTAGGCCTACTGGCCAGTGCTAGAGAACGCTACAGTAGGCCTATTGGCCAGTGCTAGTCAACGCTACAGTAGGCCTACTGGCCAGTGCTAGACACTACAGTAGGCCTACTGTAGTGTTGTCTAGCACTGGCCAGTAGGCCTACTGTAGTTTTTTTTCTACCACACACGTGGTCACACATTTACAATGCTAACCAGCATATATACATTTTCTTCTGTCCTCCATGGACAGGGTTAGAGATGTGTTAAACATATAGTTCAAGGGTTTATTGAACAATCAACCACAGAAGGTAATTCGGTGCTTTTAAAATACTAAGCTAACCTACATACGTAAATACATAGATACAGATTTACGTATGCCCTACATAGTGTTCGATGTGTCATTAATGTGCATTTACAAAGGTGGCATACTGTAGTGGCAGGTGCTAGTCAACAGTAGTACAATACAATGATAATATAGGTTAAAGAGTCAGTAGGTGAGCCTGACAGGGTAGATGGGGGGAGGGGGGGAAAGGTGATGACACAATACAAAATATATTTAAAAAATCGTTATAATTGTTGTATGTGATTGTGACGGTTGGCGCAGATCGCGGTGCGGCCGCAGGAGGCAGCGGGACTCCAGCCGCAGCTGCGGGAGGAGTGGTTCAACCGCAACTCCTCCCGTGCAGACATGGCGCGTCTCCTCCACTCCTTCGCTCACCACACAGCCTTCGCCAGGTTCAGGAAGGAAGGCATCCTGCAGTAAGTGCCTCTCGCCTCCTCTCTGCTGTCTCTGGGCTCTGCCACAGGATAATATTCCTCGACATGCCTTCCGGTGCGCGCTGTTCCCTCTCCCTCAGCGTCAGCCAGGAGAAGTTCACGTTGCATATATTCCCTCCTTCCCCCCCCCCCGTCCCTCTGGCTAAAATGTCAAGGTGGGCTTAAAGCCCGTGTGGTTCACTGTAGGGGCTGGGTGGTGCTTGTGGTTCACTGTAGGTGCTGGGTGGTGCTTGTGGTTCACTGTAGGGGCTGGGTGGTGCTTGTGGTTCACTGTAGGGGCTGGGTGGTGCTTGTGGTTCACTGTAGGGGCTGGGTGGTGCTTGTGGTTCACTGTAGGTGCTGGGTGGTGCTTGTGGTTCACTGTAGGGGCTGGGTGGTGCTTGTGGTTCACTGTAGGGGCTGGGTGGTGCTTGTGGTTCACTGTAGGGGCTGGGTGGTGCTTGTGGTTCACTGTAGGTGCTGGGTGGTGCTTGTGGTTCACTGTAGGGGCTGGGTGGTGCTTGTGGTTCACTATAGGGGCTGGGTGGTGGTTGTGGTTCACTGTAGGTGCTGGGTGGTGCTTGTGGTTCACTGTAGGTGCTGGGTGGTGCTTGTGGTTCACTGTAGGTGCTGGGTGGTGCTTGTGGTTCACTGTAGGTGCTGGGTGGTGCTGGGTGGTGCTTGTGGTTCACTGTAGGTGCTGGGTGGTGCTTGTGGTTCACTGTAGGTGCTGGGTGGTGCTTGTGGTTCACTGTAGGTGCTGGGTGGTGCTTGTGGTTCACTACAGATGTTTCACTCTGCAGGTTCACGTTGGACATACCGGAAGGAGCGGGGGAACTAGAGATGAGAGCCGTGTACCGGGACGAGGCCGGTACAGCGTCAGCCAGCATGCGGGGTGTCCCTGTACACTCCCCGAAGGCCCGGTACCTCCACCTCACCACCAGCACCGACCTCGCCACCGTCGGCGATTTTGCCATCTTCCAAGTCAGGGCCAACTTCCGGGTGGATAAATTCCAGTACCTGGTGAGTGGTGTGTCCTTGTGTGGTGAGTGGTGTGGCCTCGCCAGTGGTGTGTGGTGTGGCCTCGCCAGTGGTGTGTAGTGTGACCTGATGAGAGGTGTATCCTGGTGATAAATAGTGGGTGGTGTGACCTGGGGACTGGTGCAGGATGATGGTAGTGTGACCTGGTGGATGGGGGAGTAGTATGACCTGGTGGATGGGGGTAGTGTGACCTGGTGGATGGGGATATTATCCAGCTGAAGTTAATGATGAAGATGTTTGGTAAATATAATTTAAATTATTTATTGACCATAAAAGTTCCTTATAAAGAAGTGGTGAGGTCAAGGGCGCCCTTGAGCGGTCTATGGGGCGAGTCAGGGCTCAATGTCAAGTCAATTGGCTTGTCGTAAGGCCTTTAAAGTTTCAAATAAGATATAGCCAAGATACTCATTAACGTCCGGGAGATTTTCTGCAAGAATAATTCAAAAGAAATTGCAGCATTTTTGTCACGTTCTTTGATGGCTTATATAGAGTTCATCTGTGTTTTGTGTATGTCTGCGTTCATTGTCAGCCCGCTCTCATTATCTCACAAGCGTCTAAGTGAAGTGTTCTGGACTAACCAAAATTATGCGAACCTAACCAAATCCACCACATTTTGTTCTTTCCTAGACCGGAGGAACTTTATTCGTGAACACGTACAGAAGGTACGTGAAGGTACACAACGCCTTAAATTACACAAGAATATATATAAATCTGCTTAATATAATGTTGGGTCTGAATGTAAAACGTGAATAAAATATAATATTACTCATTTTATAAGAAAATAAGATAAAGGTTGTAGCGGGGGGGGGGGGGGGGGGGGGGGGGGAGCGAGGGGAAGGTAATAAAGGCCTTGACTGCCTGGTGAACTTTTACATGCCTCACCCAACCAACTTTGGTCTTATTTCAATATAACATAAGTTTTTTTCTGAGTAAAAATGAAGTACAGTATATATTTTTGATGTTCTCCATTCAGCACCAACATTATAGTAAGCAGATGAGATATAATTATTGTTGTGTAATTTAAAGAGGCTTTGGCCAAGTCTATGGACCTCGTATAAACTAATTCACTAAGTTCTGCCTAATGCACTTGAGTTTTGACCCTAATGCACTTGAGGTTAAACTGTAATGCACTCGGGTTGATGGTAGGAGAGTGTGGAGGCTGAGTGTGAGGACGGGTGAGAGTTGCGCAACACTGACGGGTTCTTAGCGTGAGGTCCTCGGGCGTCAGCTGTAAGGGATGGGTGTTGCAGGTGGTGGCGAAGGGGACGGTGGTGCACTCTGCCACGGAGGAGGTGTGGTGGGCGGGCACGGAGGGCGTCACCACCCTGAGTGTGGCCGTGTCCAGAGAGATGGCTCCTCGCTTCACCCTGGTGGTGGTGCACGTGGCCCCGGACGCTGAGGTGCTGGTCGACACCATCCACGTCTCCGTCAGCCTGCACCACACCATGAAGGTTAGTCACCCTCTCTTGACAACACCCGAGGTCTACACCCCCTCATAACACCCGAGGTCTACACCCCCTCATAACACCCGCGGCCTACACCCTCTCATGACAACACCCGCGGCCTACACCCTCTCATGACAACACCCGCGGCCTACACCCTCTCATGACAACACCCGCGGCCTACACCCTCTCATGACAACACCCGCGGCCTACACCCTCTCATGACAACACCCGCGGCCTACACCCTCTCATGACAACACCCGCGGCCTACACCCTCTCATGACAACACCCGCGGCCTACACCCTCTCATGACAACACCCGCGGCCTACACCCTCTCATGACAACACCCGCGGCCTACACCCTCTCATGACAACACCCGCGGCCTACACCCTCTCATGACAACACCCGCGGCCTACACCCTCTCATGACAACACCCGCGGCCTACACCCTCTCATGACAACACCCGCGGCCTACACCCTCTCATGACAACACCCGCGGCCTACACCCTCTCATGACAACACCCGCGGCCTACACCCTCTCATGACAACACCCGCGGCCTACACCCCCTCATGACAACACCCGAGGTCTACACCCCCTCATGACAACACCCGCGGCCTACACCCCCTCATGACAACACCCGCGGCCTACACCCCCTCATGACAACACCCGTGGCCTACACCCCCTCATCAACACCTCATGACAACACTTTGACCTGATTGCAAGCATTTATTAAATGTAGCCATATTGCTCTTTATTCCAGTAAGATGATGATGTAAGTATATTATGAACAACAAAGGTCCCAGGACACACCCTTGCAGGACGCTGCATATGACTGTTCTCAACTGAGATTGAGAATATTCCACTCCGTCTATACTAACCCAGTTTTCTGTTCAACTATCCCTACTCCGATGTAACATATCCCACACTGATGTTATATACAGAAGGTTTTCAAGTGGTGCCAATGGTCGGGGTAAACACATCATACGTGTTAGCCCTCTTGGCCTTTGTACAGAACCTCTCTCATTGGTATAGTCCCCGTCGCGCAGTGGTAACGAACTCGCCCGGCGATTCGTGAACCCTTTGGACTGGGTTCGTATCCTGGCCGGGAATGGATTGACTGGGCGCCAATCCTTAGCTGTAGTCTCTGTTCAGCTTGCAGCGAATGGGTACCTGGTTGTTAAACAATTTGGCGCATTGTATTCCAGGGAAAAATTAGGATTAAGGCCTTGTCCGAAGTGCTATGCGTGCTAGTGGCTGTACAGCGATGTTAGAGCTCTTGTATATAAATAAATAAATAAATAAATAAATAAAAAACGTTTTTTTTATCTAACTCGTATTCGTAACGAGTTACGAATCATTGGTAATGATGATTACCAATGATTACCGGTCATTGATAATGATGATTGAACTTGCCACAGCTGACTTAAGAGGCTACGACTCACCATAAGCCAACTCCCGTAACCCCCCCCCCGACCCAACCTCGGGGTTACACGAGTTGATTGATTCGTGACGGACATGATGAGGGATGACTCTTGAATAAACCTATTACAAGACCACTATTGAACAGACCTGCTGCAAGACGAGAGTAACGCACACATTATAAGTGGAAGTGTTTTGTTGAGAGTGCGCCTTAGTCAGCACAGTTTGCTTGATCAAGGCACTGTCCGCCACAGGACCCCCCCCCCCTACATACCTCTCCCATAATACTACTGATATAATCACACGGATCACTACGCGTTCACTTACTGGCTATTCATGTACGTGCCACCTCTCAGGTGGCTTAATCTTTATCAGTCAGTACACATTCAGTTACAGCCCCGCTACTGTACCAGGTAAGTCCACAACGGGCTCACCATAGCCCGTGCTACTTACAACTTTTTGTTCCCAGTAACTGAATCAAAAACAATAGTAGTAGGCGTCCTCTGCGATACAGGTGGTCGTGGTTGAGGTCCACCAGAGGCCGGGGCCGTCAGCCACAACCCCTCATAAGGACCATATAAAACAACACATGATGGTACAGCACACGACCACCTCGCCCACACGACGGTAGCGCTGGTGGGGGATGTGTTGTGCAGGAAGGACATGCTGTGGCTGCTGCAGGTGTACTCGTCTAGTTGTGCTTGCGGGGGTTGAACTTTGGCTCTTTGGTCCCGCCTCTCAACTGTCAATCACCCGGTGTACATATTCCTGTACACTGGTAGGGTTTGAGCGCCTGTCACTGACTACGGGGGAGTGAGGTCTAGTTCTTTGTCCCGCCTGCTAACTACGCTCCTTGTACCTGTTCTTTATAATCTAACTATGACGTGAGAATTTTGTCGAGCCTGGTGTTAAAGCTGTGGCTGAGGTGGCTACCACAACTTCCTCCATCACCACTACAGGCAGCGAGTATTTCCTTATATTTCTTTGGCTTATGTGTTTCCAGCTTCCACTTATGTTCTCTCGTCCTTATTGTCTGAATTTCATGGGACTGCTCTTTTCCACCTTGACTATTGCTTCCGTATCTTGTATGTTGTGATCATATCCTCTCTGTCCCTGTAGGTGGAGATGGTGATGAACCAGCATAAGGACCACTCAAAGAGGACGGTTGAGGCGTCCATGTGGGCGCCCCCTGGCACCCTGCTGGCCCTCTCCTGCGCCCGCACCCCCACCTGGCGCAAGCAGCAGAACAATCGCCTCACCCACACCAGGCTCCTGAAGGCTACGCTGCAGATGGAGCCCCACCCGAGGTCAGTCCTTGTCCCAAGTGTTTACCTGTTCCCTTTATCTCGTAGACTTCGGGGCTCACCCTCCGCTAACTTTAACACCCGCCAAATTCACTGTATTTGTGCGTCATATATTCTTTACCTCTTAATTGTGTTGCAAACCTCGTGTTTCCTCCTCTACAGTCACAGACTCCAGTCATAATTCTGTTCCTCAGACTTCCTCTCACATTCCCTCTCATAAATCTGTGCCACGAACTTACCCTTTTCTCCTTAAATATCAGCGACATAGATTAACCTTCCAAATTTTTGAGTCGCAGGATTACTCTTCTATAATTTTGTGCTACCGGTTCCCACCATTCGCAATTGTACGCCCGGCTTCGACTCCCCCTTAATTACATTCCACAATTCCGTCCCACATAATTACCCTCCTAATAATTCTATGCTATAGACTTGTCTTTCCCAAAATTTTGTGGTAAAGATCTATCTTCTCCTGAAAATAATTTTTCCCAATATTGTCCCCCCCCCCCAAATTTCCACGCATAATTCGGCAGGCCACATTTTCCGTGTTCCGTAATTCTCTAAACCCGGTTTTGACTCTACTTCACAGTCGTAACCTCGCCTTCCCATAATTCCCCGCGACCCTTAATGTGGACTCCATTCCCGCCCAGGGGATGGGTATGGGTAATACCACGCCCAGGGGATGGGTATGGGTAATACCACGCCCAGGGGATGGGTATGGGGTTATACCACCGCCCAGGGGATGGGTATGGGGTTATACCACCGCCCAGGGGATGGGTATGGGGTTATACCACCGCCCAGGGGATGGGTATGGGGTTATACCACCGCCCAGGGGATGGGTATGGGGTTATACCACCGCCCAGGGGATGGGTATGGGGTTATACCACCGCCCAGGGGATGGGTATGGGGTTATACCACCGCCCAGGGGATGGGTATGGGGTTATACCACCGCCCAGGGGATGGGTATGGGGTTATACCACCGCCCAGGGGATGGGTATGGGGTTATACCACCGCCCAGGGGATGGGTATGGGGTTATACCACCGCCCAGGGGATGGGTATGGGGTTATACCACCGCCCAGGGGATGGGTATGGGGTTATACCACCGCCCAGGGGATGGGTATGGGGTTATACCACCGCCCAGGGGATGGGTATGGGGTTATACCACCGCCCAGGGGATGGGTATGGGGTTATACCACCGCCCAGGGGATGGGTATGGGGTTATACCACCGCCCAGGGGATGGGTATGGGGTTATACCACCGCCCAGGGGATGGGTATGGGGTTATACCACCGCCCAGGGGATGGGTATGGGGTTATACCACCGCCCAGGGGATGGGTATGGGGTTATACCACCGTCCAGGGTATGGGTATGGGGTTATACCACCGTCCAGGGGATGGGTATGGAGTCCATAATAAGTACAGCGACAACTTGTGTTGGTCAGGTCCGTGCACACGGTGGTGCGTGCGTCGCGGAGCGGGGCCTGGACGGAGCGGGTGGCGGCTCTCTCCGCCCACAACACTGGCGGGTGGAGCCTGGCTTCCCTACACCTGGCGGGCCTCACCATCCTCACTGACGCCACCCTCGCCTCTCCACCACACACAGGTAACGCCACACCGCCTCTACACTCGTGCTACACCTTGTATCCACGCTCACTTCACACTCGCGGCACTCCTCAAATTCATGCCACACCTGACTCGTGATAGATATACCATGAATATAGCTAGCCAATGTTAAGTCTGAAATAATATTACGATGGTAAAATGTGGCGTGTGTGTGGTGCAGGATGGTGCGACCACCAGCAGGGCTTCCTGGAGTGTGGCGACGGCTCCTGCTACCGCCAGACGGAGGTCTGTGACGGACGCCTCCACTGTGCCAACTCTGCCGACGAGCTCCACTGTGAGTAACCTCCCTTCTTTAGCCAGCACTTTACCCTCGTGCCCTTCCTCCTCACCCTCGTGCCCTTCTCACCCTCGTGCCCTTCTCATCCTCGTGCCCTTCCTCCTCACCCTCGTGCCCTCCTCACCCTCGTGCCCTTCCTCCTCACCCTCGTGCCCTTCCTCCTCACCCTCGTGCCCTTCCTCCTCACCCTCGTGCCCTTCCTCCTCACCCTCGTGCCCTTCCTCCTCACCCTCGTGCCCTTCCTCCTCACCACTGCTACAAAGCTATATTGTTGGATAATACATCTTTGTTGTGCCAAGTTGAAATATATATATATATATATATATATATATATATATATATATATATATATATATATATATATATATATATATATATATATATATATATATATAATTTTGACCGGTTCAGCTCAGGTTGTAAAGTATTGTTATTGTCTTTTTGTTTTTGACCTTTAGGCCTGACCGTGTCCCGGGACCAAGAGCCAGCGCCCGACCACTTGTACCGTACACAAGGTAACCTCTTACTCCTCTTCTCTCTTAATGTGTTGATCTTGTATTATATTTCCACTAATATGGCTAACTAATTTATTCTGTTGCCAATGATTACCAGTTAACAAAACACTGGTAAGGAACACTGCAGCAGGCCTACTGGTCCATATCTGGCAGGCCTACTGGTCCATATCTGGCAGGCCTACTGGTCCATATCTGGCAGGCCTACTGGTCCATATCTGGCAGGCCTACTGGTCCATATCTGGCTGGCCTACTGGTCCATATCTGGCTGGCCTACTGGTCCATATCTGGCTGGCCTACTGGTCCATATCTGGCTGGCCTACTGGTCCATGTCTGGCTGGCCTACTGGTCCATGTCTGGCTGGCCTACTGGTCCATGTCTGGCTGGCCTACTGGTCCATGTCTGGCTGGCCTACTGGTCCATATCTGGCTGGCCTACTGGTCCATATCTGGCTGGCCTACTGGTCCATATCTGGCTGGCCTACTGGTCCATATCTGGCTGGCCTACTGGTCCATATCTGGCTGGCCTACTGGTCCATATCTGGCTGGCCTACTGGTCCATATCTGGCTGGCCTACTGGTCCATATCTGGCTGGCCTACTGGTCCATATCTGGCTGGCCTACTGGTCCATATCTGGCTGGCCTACTGGTCCATATCTGGCTGGCCTACTGGTCCATATCTGGCTGGCCTACTGGTCCATATCTGGCTGGCCTACTGGTCCATATCTGGAAGGTGCTACTCAGGTCCAACCTCTGCTTCCTATTTGTAAAAATTTGTTAATGGTACTATATAATGAATATAAAATATCTTAAAACTAAATATACAGAGAAGGATGAATAAATACAGAGAAGGATGAATAAATTAATGCCGGGATTTAGAACTGTCTTTGTGAAGAATAACCGAGATAACATAATTTACTCTCTAGAAAAGTGAAGATTAATAGGTTAACACGATTGTAGTGTACAAACTAGAGGTTAACATGGGGTATATATCTAAAGTCTGGAGACAAAACGGTGGATTTAAGATAAATTTAGAATTAGGAAATATATAGGCAAACGTTATTTGAAGAATAGGATTGAATATCTGTGGAACAAGTCACAAAGTAACACAATACAAATTCCAGCATTGGAAAGTTTCATTAGCAGGTTAGACAGAAGTGAGTGGAAGCGATTGGGTATAGAAAAAGAGTTGCCTAACATAGGTCAATAGTTAGTAGAGTCCTTCATGCTAACGTTCATATGTATAACGACTATATCAGTCTTTACTTTATATCTCTGTATATAGATATCTTGCATGATAATGTTGCATTATTACAACCTGTTACGTTATTCAGACATACATTGAATTTATTTCTTCATTATGCACCCCATACCCATCCCTTGGGCGGTGGTGGTAAGAGTTACAGAGGCACATAATGGGTTCAGGAACTGAACCTCATAGTTCATTTAGCTAAGCAACTGAGTCTTTTAAAGCTAGTTACACAGTTGTTAATATTATATACACACGATTGCATATTGTACACATTTACATTATACAAACATTTACACAAATACATATACATGTCGATAATCTTTTTATAATGAGACATAAGCTGGAGAAAGTTGTGTGGTAGTAAGTGTATGTTTGGTGGACAGAGGAGGTGGATGCGGAGTACCGGCTGAAGCAGAGGAACTGGTGGAGGGACCTCTTCGACCAGCAGGAGGGCAGCTGGTGCCGCACTCACCGACACTTCGGTCAGTACACACTCACCCACCGACCCTTCACCAGTCACTCCAGCCTCTCACTTAAGGGCGCCTCACCATCATATTCCTGAAATTGTGTTACCTTTTTCCTGGTTGGGGTGGGGGGGGGGGGCCTTCCATGGGGAACTACAGCCTTTTTGCGAAACTAAATGCAAGTTTTTTTATTCTTTTAAGAAATTGGACGATTTATTAAGAAAATAGAAATATATTGGCCCCATTAATGCTCACAGTATTTTCTATTCGGGGCAATTGCAACCTTTTCTTTTAATTTAATTTTGTTTTGCTACATAAACTTATAAATAAATCGTATTAATTGAATACTAGTAATTGGTATATAATTATCAATTTACGCGGGTAATATTGGTGATCGCCGCCAGGTCTGCACTGTGGCGGCAAATTTAAATTTAATTCCCTTGGTTTTTGTTTTAATCCACAAGTTTTTGAAAGCTTTTAATACAATATTAATGTTCTTTTTCACTCAATGAACATTATTCTGTTATCTACAGTTTGTTAGACATTGTATGTTATTTTTTTGGTTTAAATATTAAACAAATTTGATAATTCATTATACAAATTCCAATGTATAATAATTAATATCCTAAAACGCCATTTTATTTTTCAGATTATATTATATAAATGCAAATTAAACGACAATGGACAGAAAAGGTTTTCATCTGAGCATGACTTTGGGTGTACATCCTTCCTCAGAGATTGTTAGGCAATCAATGGAAGATGTGGGTGCAGTCTTAAGGGGAGAGACTGCCCCCCTTGTCTTGGTCCTTCCCTTAAGGGGAGAGACTGCCCCCTTGTCTTGGTCCTTCCCTTAAGGGGAGAGACTGCCCCCTTGTCTTGGTCCTTCCCTTAAGGGGAGAGACTGCCCCCTTGTCTTGGTCCTTCCCTTAAGGGGAGAGACTGCCCCCTTGTCTTGGTCCTTCCCTTAAGGGGAGAGACTGCCCCCTTGTCTTGGTCCTTCCCTTAAGGGGAGAGACTGCCCCCTTGTCTTGGTCCTTCCCTTAAGGGGAGAGACTGCCCCCTTGTCTTGGTCCTTCCCTTAAGGGAAGAGACTGACCACTTATCTTGGTCCTTCCCTTAAGGGAAGAGACTGCCCCTTTATCTTGGTCCTTCCCTTCAGTGTGTGAGGGCGCACGCCCGCCCGCATGCTCACATGAAAACCTATTCCTTCACTGTGGTTTACTTGGCATTTCTAGAGATCAGTGATGTGATCTTGTGTGTTTAGTGATAGTCTGCACTTGAGGTCTCGAGGGTTACTGTAGGGAGGGCGGGCGTCGCCCACACCAGTGTTGGAGGACACTCCTCTGTCAAGGGCAAGCTTTTACTCGAAACTGAAATTTTGTCATTATTGAAACTTTCATGAAAAAAAATATTATACCAGAAGAGCCATTAATAGCCCAAAACTGAATATAACAAAATATATTTTATATAAAAAACGCAAAGTGGAATACATTTAAAATAATTTATTTTACAATTTACCGACATTAAAAGATACAATGTAAGGCAGGAGACATCAAATAAGTTAATTTAAAGCAGATAAATTAATAATATGCATAACATGTAAAGAATAACTAGGTATAACATAAAATTTTGGAAAATTGTGCAACCTTTGCAATTTACTTCAACAAATTCAGGAGTGTGTGACAATATCAATGTCTCTGAACACACGGCTCATGTAACATGGATCTGATGTCAAGAAAACTTTTCTTTTTGACAGTAACTCATAAATAATGCCAGGTATCCAGCCGGGAGTATCAGTAATCCTGCTTTCTCTGCTCACTCTTTATTCTATCCTGCAGACCGGCTGCACCATTACATATATCACTCGTTCTTCAGTTGGCTTCATACAAGGAAGTTTATATTTCTGACAACGTTTGAGTGGGCAGTGATAAGTGAACGCCTTGGGAAGGGGGGGGGGGGTGGAGAGCGCGTATGGTGTGTGCTGGACGGGTGATTTCCACAGAAGTATATCATTCGTGCTGTAATAGTTTCTTCACGTGTAATTGTGGATATTACTCGACTTGTTGTCACAAGTCGAGCCTGGCCTCAGACCGGCCTCGGGGAGTAGAACTACTCCCAGAACCCTCTCCAGGTATGCTCCAGGATAGAAGGCCAGGCAGAAAATTGCAGTGATTGATATTTTCAGATGTGTAGGTGTTAGGTGTCTAATTTTCAACCCCGTTAATGTTGCTTAATGTCTCCGTGGACTCTTTAAGATACGTCTTGAACCTTTCCTCTAGTTACAATTCACCTTACTAAGGTCTGTATTTAACAGGTTATATAGTTAACATCTATAGAAACTGCGACAGTGACTATTAAATACCTTCACTTTTGATCAGGTATGACGGTGACTAATTCACTTACAATGACATACTGACTGGCAGGCCTCTAACAGCATACAAAATACAGACATGTCGGCTCTTTGAAAATATAATATGTAAAAGATGCATTTCTGATCATTTTGCTGAACTCTCCAAATCTAGTATTTTAAGATTTGATGAAAACGAATAGTTTAAAACAGCTACAGAATTTACCACAATGAAACGTGATGTATTGAGCATTACATTTATCAGTATTGTGCAGTGTATATCATCTTCGGCGGGTGCCATCACAACTTGATGAAACGTGCTTCCTTTAGCACTGACCGACTCATACCTTTGACATGGTACCAATGCAGGTTGAGTAACTTATTAACCTTATAATTAACACCGGAGGATGTTGATCAACAGTATTTTATGAGACGTCTCGGAGATATTCCTTGTGTGCCACGGTGTCTCTGCCGGCAGGACACAAGGGGTACGAGCAGGTGGCGCTGGCGGTGCCCAACTCTCCAGGGCAGTGGGTGGTGGAGGGGTTCGCTACCCACCTGCAACACGGCGTCTTCATCCTGCCGGAGTATGACTACGACACGACGCCGCCCCTCCTCATGCGTCTCCAGGCCACCCCCGTCTGCCGCCGGGGGGAGCAGGTCAGTACAACCCTCTCCGTATGCTGGTAAAGTGGTCATAGTGCAGCTGGTAGTGGCGGCTTTGTGGTGACACGGGGCCCCAGGTGCCACCATGATCAGGATGGTATACCATTACTTGTCAGGTGGCTGAGAGTGGCACATGTCCCCGTCCTGAGCACTCCATGTGTATGCTGTGAGCAGCAAATGGGTCATCTCTCACTACATTATTGAACGTCCGGTAATCAGAGGCTTGAGACCCGACGGTATGAGGTGGAGGTGTGATGGCGGTGGTTACTGACACTTGGGTTGCTGAGGCCTGGTTGTGATCAACAGATCTCTGTGCGGGTGCACCTGTACAACGCTGTGCGTCAGACGGTGATGGTGATGGTGGTGCTGCAGGGGAGTCCAGACTACCGCTTCGTCCACGTCGAGAAGGACGCCATCGTCAGCCACTACAGCCCCAGGCTCTCCTCAGGCGACCACCACCACCTCATCTCGGTCAGTACTCTCACACACGCGCACACCTACCTGTTATGCACTAACAAATCTTCCGTGTTGTTTTGTGGCTTTTCATAATAGCCTTTATATAGCTTCAACCACTTCTTGATCTAACTCACTGAATGTATTTACATGTGTGCCAGGGACGAGTCCGGAAGCGTGCCCCAGTCACACTTCTCCTGACAATTAGGTCACTCGTGTGTCAACTCCTCAACTTGCTTTGTGGTATGATGGTTACTGCCTGTTTCCCAGCTGCGTTCGCTCAGGCAGATCGGACACATTTACACTTGTATACATATACACACATTGTAGAGTTGATAGTCCAGTAGGCTCATGACTCTGTACACCAGTTGATTAACGGTTGAGAGGCGTGACCAAAGAGCCAAAGTTCAACCCCCACAAGCACAACTAGGTGAGTACACGCATTATTTTACAAATGTAGTATAATGACTATGATCACGAATAATTTTCATGTATCTTTGTTAACATAATAATAATTCTACATTGTAGTTTATAACCATAACCGTACTGATACAATCCCACACACAATTTTTTTACATTATATATATATATATATATATATATATATATATATATATTATATATATATATATATATATATATATATATAATATAAATATATAATATAATAATTATCCTCGACGGTAGTCTGTTTTTATACGCTAATTAATCACGTGTAGGCTTTGTTCAAAACTCTGATAATACATATTCTACCTTGGAGTGGAGGATGGCTTACATTTTGTGAGCACAAGGCAGTATTAAGACGTGTTGATCTGGCAAGTCTGACCAACAGTCTTCATCGTTCATATCTCGGGAACATGTATCGGCTGTAGAAGGTTTTGATGTACAAGATAACGGTCCGCAAGCTTATAATCACTCTTGTATTAAGTGGGCACTAGTCAACAACCTATTTAATTGTTTTCTTCCAAAATATTGTGTGATTACGTGGGTAGTGTGATGAAGCAGTAGCGACTAAGAGTTGTATGTGACACAGGTGGGCGGCGAGGGGTTCACGGAGGTGATGCTGCCGCTCGCCGTCACCAGACAGTCCGGCTCCTTCACCGTCACCGTCCACGCTCGCTCACAGGTCGCCTCCGACACCAGGACCGTCACAGTCACGGTACAGGTGGGTCTCTCTCTTCCTCTGCACCCCGGTCCTTCCCCCCTCTCACTGACACCGTCTCTTTCCCTCTTGTATAACATTGTTTTTTTCTTGCCTATAAATTCTCCACTCTTCATGTTATATGCATGGACTCTTGCACAAATAAAATATTAAAATTATTATTATTTTTGTTATGTATCGGCTCTGAAAAGTTATGGCCTGGCGCTCCCTGAGGCAGGTGTGTGTAGCTCCTACATTGCCCTGAGGCAGGTGTGTGTGTGTGTGTAGCTCCTACATTGCCCTGAGGCAGGTGTGTGTGTGTGTGTAGCTCCTACATTGCCCTGAGGCAGGTGTGTGTGTGTAGCTCCTACATTGCCCTGAGGCAGGTGTGTGTGTGTGTAGCTCCTACATTGCCCTGAGGCAGGTGTGTGTGTGTAGCTCCTACATTGCCCTGAGGCAGGTGTGTGTGTGTGTGTGTAGCTCCTACATTGCCCTGAGGCAGGTGTGTGTGTGTGTGTAGCTCCTACATTGTCCTGAGGCAGGTGTGTGTGTGTGTGTGTAGCTCCTACATTGCCCTGAGGCAGGTGTGTGTAGCTCCTACGTCACTAGCTAACGACACAAGCCCTCTTCAACTGCTGCTAACCGACGTAACATCCCCCCCTCACACACACCCCTTGTCTCCATTGACGCAACACATCCCTGTCGTGCCACTGACGCAACACATCCTTGTCGTGCCATTGACGCAACACATCCTTGTCGTGCCATTGACGCAACACATCCTTGTCGTGCCATTGACGCAACACATCCCTGTCGTGCCATTGACGCAACACATCCCTGTCGTGCCATTGACGCACCTGGCCCTTGTCCAACAGCCCGAGGGCATCGAGGTGAGGAAACACACGTCCGTGCTGCTGGACCTCAAGAACCGAGCCACAGTGTACGAGTTTCTGGACCTGCCAGTGGACGAGAGTCCCAAGATTACCCGCAGCATCCTCAGGCGCTACGTCTATGGCTCTCCCCGGGCCAGTCTGGCACTATCAGGTACTCTACACCAGCCTCTATAATTGTCATTTGGTAAAGCATTTCACTTGGGGGGCGACACCGACCGGCCTATGACGCTCCCCTACCCAACATGATGCATCTCGTCAAGTTGGGTGAGACTAACCCCAGGCGTCTGGCCTCTCAACTTCTGACACACTGACAGATATTCTTTTATAGCTCTATGCAGGCGACGAGTCACAACAACGTGGCTGAAGAATGTTGACCAGACCACACACTAGAAGGTGAAGGGACAACGATGTTTCGGTCCGTCCTGGACCATTCTCACAATCGACTTGAGAATGGTCCAGGACGGACTGAAACGACGTCGTCCCTTCACCTTCTAGTGTGTGGTCTGGTCAACATATTTATAGCTCTATATTACACTACTGGCTAGACAAAACAGGTGCAGAATAATCTAACTCAAACTTGCATATTAGTTATAAAAGTGACATTTAGCTTGCAATGTTGAAGATGAAACATTGTAAAAACAAAATGAAGTTTACCATTAGAGCGGCAAGACCATATATTGGCACAATTTATATCACAACAGTTGGATAAGACAATTCAAACTAATAAACTAATGATGCCATGACGTTATGGCAACTGCACCGCACACCCTTCGCATTCTGCACCAACCAACTCTGCATCTATCCCGGCTCAAAATAACTCCACACACACACAGCTCATATAAACATCGATCCGACTTCAATTAGACTCGAATTACCTGTCAATAATTTCTCTGTGACGGTAGTTCCTTCATAATTCCAAATATCCAGCTGGGGTCTCCCTGCTTTCTCTGCTGACCGCATGTTTTAGCCTGTCCTGGAGACCCCTACACCTTATATATATATATATATATATATATATATATATATATATATATATATATATATATATATATATATATATATATATATATATATATATATATATATATATATATATATATATATATATATATATATATATAATATATATATATCGTATATATATATGTCGTACTAGTAGCCAGAACGCACTTCTCAGCCTACTATGCAAGGCCCGATTTGCCTAATAAGCCAAGTTTTCATGAATTAATGTTTTTTCGACTACCTAAATACCTAACCTAACTTTTTCGGTTACCTAACCTAACCTAACCATATAAAGATAGGTTAGGTTAGGTAGGGTTGGTTAGGTTCGGTCATATATCTACGTTAATTTTAACTCCAATAAAAAAATTTACCTCATACATAATGAAATGGGTAGCTTTATCATTTCATAAGAAAAAAATAGAGAAAATATATCATTTCAGGAAAATTTGGCTTATTAGGCAAATCGGGCCTTGCATAGTAGGCTGAGAAGTGCGTTCTGGCTACTAGGTACGACATATATGTATATATGTATATATGTATGTATATATATATGTCGTACTAAGTAGCCAGAATGCACTTCTCGGCCTACTATGCAAGGCCTAATAGGCCGAGTGATTTTCTTTATTTAAAAAAAATTGTTTCCAAATGGTTTATTTGAATTATTATTATTATATTAAGAACTGACATAGTTACGTTAGTTTATGATAGGTTAGGTAAAGTAGCTTCGGTCATGTATCTATTAGTTTTAAATCAAATTAAACAAAATTAACTCATACACAATGAAATGGATAGCTTTATCCTTTTATAAGAAAAAAATATATATATTCTGGAAAACTTGGCTTATTAAGCAAATCTGGTTTTGCAGAGTACCGCGTTCTGGCTACTAGGTACGGCACATATATATGTATATATATGTTTATAGGTATATAATGTGTTATATACATTTGTAGTTTTTAACAATTCAGTTTATTTCTGGAAAAGTATAAGTAGCCAGTGGTGAGTGCCTCAGAATTTTTTTAGTTGATTGAGCTTGCTGGATGGGTGATTCATTTGAGACAATGATATTCGTTTGTGATTTATTTCTTCAAGTGTGGGCGTGGACATGAGGCCAGGTAGGAGATTGCAATGAGTGCGATGATGGACTCCCAAGATTCATCTTGAACATTTCCTCCATTCACAGTTAAACTTAACAAGGTCAGCATTTTGTAGTTCCAATAATTCACATCCGTACAAGCTTAGATATTGACTGTAAAATAACCTTATTTTTGACTAAGTATCCTGATAGAACAAATGTCATCATTAGTGATTTGTGCTAACTTTTAGGTCGCTAATAGCATAAAAAAATTACAAGTGGGGCCTTTGAAGATATAATATCTCCCAGATAGTTTTTAGAATACTTTAATGGAAACTGTCTTGTGATTTTAGATTGGGATCTTGATAAAGAGAGTCCTGTGAGTTTGAAGCAACCAAATGTGGCAGAACTGAACGTCTTGTATTCTGTACTATATCTTTCACATAGTTATATCAAGTTTACATTGCCTCTTTGGTGGGTGCGAGTAGAACTAGATCAGTATAACAGAAGATATTGACCTTGGTACTGCTTACGCGACAACCGCCTCTACTGGCTCTTAACTCTTTCAACAATGAATCAGCATTGATAGTAAACAATATCGAACCAAGAACAGCACTTAACCTCATTTTTAGAAAGAAATTTCCCCAAAATTTACTCCATTTCGCAGCTAATTTATATTTAAATATCTAACAATGACAGGACACACTTTTCTGCTAAAACGTTTGGTGTGTTCAACTTCATCAAATATTTCGGAAGCATAAAAAACAAAACAGAACAGAGGTATCTTGCGAGTTGCAGAAGTGAATAGTTTCCGCCACCACGAAGCTACGAGCGTTGTCGACTAACCCCTGTTATATACAAACTGAGTCAGAGAAGTCTAGTTCGTCAGCTAGAAAGTCAAAGAATATATAATCAAATACAAATTGACAGTGTGTTTAGGGCAATAGTCCTATAATTATTAGAGGAGGATATAGAATCTTGGCAGTTCTTTGGAATGGGAACGAGTACAGATGTTTATTACAGATGAGGATGTACCATGGGAGAGAGAGACATACAGTTTCGTCGTCCCATGTTTAAGGTTGACAGATTGTGTTAGACTATCATAACTCCCATTTTAGTTTTCTTACAGCTTTCTCAAACATTACAAGGGTTACTTTATCTAACAAGACTTAAGTGCTTCAACCAGTATTATACTATGAAATACATATTTAAAGATCGAGTGCATATTTCACTCCCCCATATTATATATCTCGCCATCCTCATATATTTTATATCTGGCTTGTCAAACGTGGACCAGGAGACGTGTTCGGCCCCACTGAGAGCAACATGGTGGTCAACTTTGAGAAGGCGTTCAAGGGACGTTTCCTGAAAAGCAACGACGGTCTGGCCTTCAACCTGGGCACAACGGTGTGGACGCTCCACTACTTCCGCCTCACCAACCAGCTCGACATGACCAAGGCTAAGGGCACCTTCGAGTTCCTCAACGTCCAACTTGCCGGCCTTCTCACCCGCTATAAGAAAGGTGCCTTTAGGATGTGGCACTTCTCCAAGCCGTCTGTGTGGTAATATGATGTTATTCACTTATTTGATATTGACTTAAGTGTGCTGGCCGGGTCGAATCCTGGTGGGATCATAGCTTATAATTTACAGCATGGGGACTATTTCAAGCCTTGTTTTCATATGCATATATAATATTAATAAGTAATTCATTGTATCGGGGACAGGAAGCCAGATTGTATTCATATACGTTAAGCTTTTATTAAGGTTCACTGGTCGAATTACTGACCCCGCCCCAACCCCCCCAGGATGCAACCCCACAACAAACTAACTTCTCAGTATCTATTTGCTACTAGGTGAACAGCGGCATTAGGTAAAAGGAAAAGCGCTCACCATTTCTATCCCGCCCGGGATTCGAACCCAGAATTCTCGATTGTGTGTCGAGAACGAAGTCAACTGTACTACTGGGACCCTTGGATATATAACTAAGAATTCAATAACCCACCAGGATTCGAACCCTATTAAGTTGTAACGGGGTTCTAAATCGCCTAAGAGTTCTTAAGTGTTCTTAAGTTCTTAAGAGTTCTTAAGCTTGTGTTTCACAGTGTAGGCTCAGCGCGGCCCGAGCATGCATCAGGGTTTTACGAAAAATTGTGCTCAAATTGCATCATGATTATTGTCGTGTGTGTGTACTCACCTATTTGTACTCGCCTATTTGTGCTTGCGGGGGTTGAGCTTTGGCTCTTTGGTCCCGCCTCTCAACTGTCAGTCAACTGGTGTACAGATTCCTGAGCCTACTGGGCTCTATCATATGTGTTCGATAACGTATTCGATATATATAGGAGAGACGTATTCGATATATATAGGAGAGACGTATTCGATAACGTATTCGATTTATTCGATAATGTTATCGAATAAATATCTATTCGAATAAATATCGAATAAATAAATATCATATCTACATTTAAAACTGTGTATGGAGTCAGCCTCCACCACATCACTTCCTAATGCATTCCATCCGTTAACTACTGACACTGAAAAAGTTCCTTCTAACGTCTCTGTGGCTCGTGTGGGTACTCAGTTTCCACCTGTGTCCCCTTGTTCACGTCCCGCCAGTGTTGAATAGTTTATCCTTGTTTACCCGGTAGATTCCCCTGAGGATTTTGTAGGTTGTGATCATGTCTCTCCTTACTCTTCTGTCTTCCAGTGTCGTAAGGTGCATTTCCCGCAGCCTTTCTTCGTAACTCATGCCTCTTAGTTTTGGGATTAGTCTAGTGGCAGACCTTTGGACTTTTTCCAGCTTCGTCTTGTGCTTGACAAGGCATGGGGTCCATGCTGGGGCCGCATACTCCAGGATTGGTCTTACATATGTGGTGTACAAGTTTCTGAATGATTCCTTACACAGGTTCCTGAACGCTGTTCTGATGTTAGCCAGCCTCGCATATGCCGCAGACGTTATTCTTTGTGTGTGTGTGTGTGTGTGTGTGTGTGTGTGTGTGTAATTACCTAAGTGTAGTTACAGGATGAGAGCTACGCTCGTGGTGTCCCGTCTACCCAGCACTGTCATATAACGCTTTGAAGCTACTGACGGTCTTGGCCTCCACCACCTTCTCACTTAACTTGTTCCAACCGCCTACCACTCTGTTTGCGAAAGTGAATTTTCCTATATTTCTTCGGCATCTTTGTTTAGTTAGTTTAAATCTATGACCTCTTGTTCTTGAAGTTCCAGGTCTCAGGAAATCTTCCCTATCGATTTTATCAATTCCTGTTACTATTTTGTACGTAGTAATCATATCACCTCTTTTTCTTGTCTTTTAATTTGGGCATATTTAATGCCTCTAACCTCTCCTCGTAGCTCTTGCCCTTCAGTTCTGGGAGCCACTTAGTGGCATGTCTTTGCACCTTTTCCAGTTTGTTGATGTGCTTCTTAAGATATGGGCACCAGTGTGTGTGTGTGTGTGTGTGTGTGTGTGTGTGTGTGTGTGTGTGTGTGTGTGTGGTGTGTGTGTGTGTGTGTGTTTACTCTCGCACATGTAATCACTAAATGTGCCACAAGTGGAGTTTTATAATCATCAGTTAATTAATACAAGGACAATTACTAGTGTACCTTATTACATTTGGTTTTGCGCCTGCAGTTTCCTTCCATGAGCCCTCGTTCGACTAATTTTGACTATCGCTTCACTGTATCCTCTTGTGGATGGCTTCTATTTGTAACTGCTGAAGGTATGTATAGTGGTGTAGCATAGTAGCTTGTGAGAGTGGTGGGTGACGAGGGGGTGTGCTGCTGCTGCAGGATGACGGCCTGGGTGGTGAACGTGCTGCTGGCGGCGCAGCTGGAGGACTGGGAGAACCTGCTGTACATAGAACCCCGCCTCATCAACACGGCCGTCGCCTTCCTGCTCGACCACCAGGCCTCCGACGGCAGCTTCCTCGAGACACCTCACTACAACGTCACTCTCGACCACAAGATGAGCTTTAAGGTAACCCTCAACACCACATACTCGAGGCTAACCTCTTAGGCTGTCACGCATTACCTTCATGATAAGTCATTACATATGTTTTTAGTATATACTTGAATACATTTGTAATGTATTCGTTATGAATTATCATTCTTTGCCAAACATTTTTTTTTTTAAATAGAAAGTGCC